CCAGCCCCCCTAATTATTAGAAGCTTTTTATTCCAACTTAAAGAACTCATCCTAGTAAGTCCTGTAAAGTGACAAACTTAGTTTTTGCCTCCATTTCTTCCTATGAAGCATAGACATTTGTGTTGAGTAGGGTATGGGTGGGCATGAACGTGCTTTTGCATACACGTGGAGATCAGAGAATGACTTCTGGGGATGTGTTCTCTCCATGAGTTGGTTCTCCTTTTCTTTGTGAATTGAACTCAAACTTGGCAGCAAGTTGCCTTACCACTGAGCCTTCTTGCCAGTCCCATTTCTCCAGTTTCTGAAAGGCAGCTTTGCAGGGTGTTCTTGTCATTTTTCCCCTTCATTCCTTGGATATATCATTTCATTTTCCAGGCTTGTAGGGTTCCTGCTAAGAAATATACAGTAGTTGTATTGGTATTGTTTTACATGTGTTAGATTTCTTCTCTTTCTGCCTTTAGTACTTTTGTTTTTGAGTTTTGATAGTTTGGGTTGGAAATCACTGGTGACCCCTTCTGCCAGTACCTGCTTGTTGGCACATACACTGAGACTCTTAGTGTTTTGAGACAGGGTCTTACCAAGTTGCTTAGGCAGGTCTTGCACAATCAACTTTCAGAATAACTAAAATTGTGGACTTGAATCACCAGGTGTGAGCAATTTTAATCTGCATATTCTTGTGAGGAGTCTTCTGAGTTCTTTGAGACATATTTCATACATCTGTTTCCTTAGAGTTCACTGTTGGAACTGCAGTAGGCTTTGCCAGGGTGAGGGGTGAGGGATGGAAATGCACCTGATCCCCTCTGTCCCTGGAGTTGTTTTTGTGGTTTGGGAAACAGCTCCCCCTCCTGGCCTTTATAGGTGTTGCTGGATGGGTCATCTGGTGACATCATAGAAAGAATTGCATGTCTCTGCTTGTAGGCATCTTGCAGGTGGTCATGCGGCAGCTTGTAGCTTGTCATCACACTGATTGTCACCTGCAGCTGGAGAAAGATGTGAGCTGAGCTATCCCATGTTAGGCAGGGCTGCTGTTGAGGATAAATGGGTTGAGAGGCTGTGCTTAGAAGAGCACACTTGAAAATGACTTCTCCATCAGGATGCAGCTGTTGGGTGGTCTGGTATATACTGAGTTGGAACAGGTACAAGCCAGAGCTGCTGTGTAGAGGGTCTTGTCCCCAGGCAGGGTCTTTGGAAGGCTTTTGGGCTGTGTGTCAGTGACATGTGGTGATGTGTACAGGGGTAGGGTCACTGGAGCGGGCTCTGAGGCTGAGCATGAAGACCGGCCATTTAAGGGACTCAGCTGAATTTTCCTGGTGCTTCTGAAAGTGACCAGATCAGCTTTGTGACTGGGCTACCATGTCAGCTGTTGGATCAAGTTCTTCAAATGGCAGTTACACAGAGGTGTCATCGTGACCAGAGTGACCTCACCTCTTTTCTTTGATTCTGTCTTACCTAGCTATGCCATCACAGCCAGTGTCCTCAAGATGGGACTAGAATGGGCCTCCCGGGACATCTAGGGCATCTGGATTCTCCCCCCCAGAGAACTGTGAATCCAGGAACATCCTCTCCATATGGCCTTGTGTTAACAGAAGGGACACACTGAAGTAGTTCTCCAAATATTGGGGTCTGTGAGATTGCCAGTTGAAATTTTCCTGGTGGATAAAGGAGCTTAGACTGCTGCTGATGTCATCACCTCTTAGGTCCACCGTTGGATCGATTCAACTTTTGTGTATCTACCCGTAGTGGAGCTGAGCGACCCTGTCCTTGGTTCTGTATGCACAGTGTGGAATGCTGGGTCTCTTACTGCTTCATGCTTTGTGTATGATTCATGTTATATTCATGGACTGTCGTCATGCCAGTGTGTTTAAGAACAGTTTCATGGCCCTAAAAAGAAAACCCATTCATCTGTTTGATCAGCCCAAACCCAATGATGAAATCTACTTTCTGCTCCCATAGTTTTATCTTTGGGATATTTCTTATAAGCGCTGTTGTACCTGCATTGTGATTTCTTTCATGTAATGTGTCTCCAAGATTCATCTGTGCTTTAACACATAGAAGAAATATCTCTTGCTGAGACATTTTTTGTTTTTGTTTGCTTGATATCTTTCCTTCCTTCATCCCCACTCCCCCAACAAGGAGCCCTAGGTGGCCTGGAACTCTGTAAACTAAGATGGCCTGTAATTCACAGAGAGCCTCCTGTCTGTGCCTCCCAAGTCCTGGGTTTAAAAGGCATGTAAAAGCCAGAGGTCAAAGTCAGGCATTCTCTGTCAGCACCCAGTGTTTTTATAGACACAGAGACTGGAGCTCACTAATCTGGCTGTCTTTATCCCCAGCCTTGGGATTTCAGGTATATGCTACCATACTTGTTCCTCCACCCCATTTGGTACTGGGGATCTAATCTTTGATCCTTGTGCTTACTGACTGAGCCATCTCCAGCCTGTCTTTGCTTTTTTATGCCTATTTAATTTCACAGCTATCCAAGCACCCCATTCCTGGAATACACACATGCCAGTTTTCAGCTCACAGATTTGACTGACTCCTTTTCTTCTATTACAGTTTCCATATGCTGTTTAAAATGTCTTAGTCAGCCAGAGAGATGGCTCAGTGGCTAAGAACACTGGCTGCTCTTGCAGAGGACCTGACTGAGTTCAGTTTCCAGCACCCACATGGATGGTTTACAGCCATCCATGGCTCCAATTCTAAGGAATCTGATGCCTTCTTCTGACTCTTGCAGGTACCAGGCACACACATGGTACACACATGTACATGAGCAGGCAAAATACCCACAGACTTAAAATTTTAAAATGTAGACAAAATGATGTTCTTAACGTAGTGAGCAACTCTCAGTGCCCATCCATGCTCCCAGCCACTGAGGAAGGGACCAGGAGAAGTTCCATTGGAAGGATCTGGCCAGTGTGACCCAGTGCTTCTAGACTGATTGTAGGTTGAGCTTTCTTCAAAGGAGTCCCATACCACCTCCCAGTCTCCAGTAGATAGCAGAAAGGTTCAGTTCTCTTGTGTGAAAAGACACCAGTCACAGTCGTTTGCAAATCTTCTGCTAGGTATATTAATAGATAGGAAGGAGAGGGCAGGCTCTTGCATCCTTGTATTCCTTTGTGTTAGACAGGTGTACACTTTGCCTCATCAAATATTTTTCAGTTGGGTTTCAGGCTCTTTCTAAGCCTATTGATGTCTATGTAAACCATGCTCGGCTACAGTCCTAGCCTCAGATACCCTTTGGTAAAGCCATGTGAGTGATGATTTAAGAATAGATCACTGATATTTGATGTTACCTAAGGGGAGGAGAGGGGTTGGTTCTTGGTCTGTGTTGTGTCTCAAAAGTTCCTTCTTAAGACTTTGAAGGATGTGGTGTTATGCAGATACTTTATTCTTAAATCAATAAGCTTAATAAAAGTTGAAATTTTAATTAATAGACATTAAGATTAAATTGGGCAAAAATGTATATTAGTTTTTAATGTTTTTTAAAATTACTCCCAGTGTTAAGCTGTTTTTTTACTTGTACACATTAAATGTATGGCAGCTTTCATAACATAGTTTAGATTTTATATATCATTCATTTGTCTTAATAGTTGACCATATTTAAGTTTTCACCAATTTAAAATGGGTAGAGAATTGTGCTGGTTAGTTTATGTCATCTCAAAACAAGCTAGAGTCTCTGGAGAGGAGGGAGCCTCAGTTGAGGAAAATGTCTCAAAAGGATCCGGCTGTAGGCAAACCTGTAGGGCATTTTCTTAATTAGTGATGGGGAGAAGGCCCAATCCATTGTGGGTGGGGCCATGCCTGGGCTGGTAGTCCTGGGTTCTATAAGAAAGCAGGCTGAGCAAGCCCAGAGGGTGCAAGCCAGTAAGCAGTACCATTCCATGGCCTCTGCATCAGCTTCTGCCTCCCCTGCCCTGACCTCCCTCAGTGATGGACTGTGATATGGAAGTGTAAGCCAAATAAATTATTGCTCAGTTTGATTTTGGTCATGGTGTTTCATCACAGCAATAGTAACCCTAACTAAGATAAGAATATTGGATTTTCAAGGTTTGTGGGTTTTTTGTTGTTGTTGTTGTTTTTGTTGTTCTGGATCAAACCTAGGGCTTGGCTCATGCTGCATCCTCAGCCTGGATTTTTAGTTGAAACATACTCCTCAGTTCTAATTGTGGTTACTAACCTCCTGATTTGAATTCTTGGTATCAAGAGAATATAATGCTGCTTTTTATTATATAGGTTTATTTACAACAATCTCTAAGGTTTCTTCCACCTTAGCACCCAACCCCTTTTTAAGTAAAAGAGAAAATTAAAGCTCAGAGAAACAACACAGGTTGTGCAGGCAGGCAGGCAGCTTCGAGGTAAATCTTGAGCCTCAGTTTGGTTTCATGGTTCTAAGTACTGGCATCTTTGCCTCCAGCGGGCTCCTTCTATGCACATTCACTACTTAGGAGTTGGGATTTTCAAGAGAAATAGGCGTTGCTTCATGTTCAGTTTTTCTAGTAAATTGAACATCAATGATTGAAAGAAATAAAACTTAGACATTTGCTTACTGTAATAGATAGTACTGAAGGACACTTACAGGTGCAGTTTCATAGAACAAGTGTCTAAAAAGTTAAAATGGTATTTTCATCATGGACTCATCATTTGTTCCACTTTGGGTTTGGCATTAAAAATGAAATGGGGGCCGGAGAGATGGCTCAGCAGTGAAGAGCACTGGCTGCTTTTCCTGAAGACCTGAGTTCAGTTTCCAGCACTTAGACCACGACTTGCAGACATCTGTAACACCAATTCCAGGGATCTGATGCCCTCTTCTGGCCTCCAGGAACAACACACACACACACACACACACACACACACACACACACACACACACACACACACACACACGGTACACATACATAGATACATATATACATACATACATGCAGGCCAACACACACACAAAATAAAAATCTTTTTTTTTGTAAAGTGAAATAAAAACCATAATATTTTTCTCTCTTTCCCAGACAGATCTTGATTATGTTCACAGCGTCATAGCCAACCTGGAGAAAGAGTAAGTTTCTGAAGCACAGAAATGGAACTATTTTCATTGCTATTATTTTTGGCTTTTTATTAAAAGAAAATGCCTTCCTTTCTAATTCATTTCTCGGTTCATCAGTGTCGACAGCCCCTCACATTCTCATTAAGCAGCTGTATGTAAATCCCTGTGTCTGGTGGGTGAATTGGTTATTTCTACCATAGAAAAGATTTGAATGGCACCTGCACAGAACACTGCCATCTAGTGGTCTTTGCTCTTGAAAGAGTAGAGCAAGAATCACAGTTGTACAGGACTGTTTGAATCCTTCACCCTCTTTTCACCAAGCATGATTTTCTATCCTGCCAAGATTGCATCCCAGTTTCCAGTGGACTGGGGACAGATGTAAAGCTTAGGGAGTTTTTGGCATCAGCATGTTTTATATTATTAACTTGCCAGTTTTAAAATTAGACCTGATAGGTTTCTTCAGTGAATTTTATCTGGTTTTACTCCTTAAGGGCACATTGACAAGAAAAGGCTTAGGAAGCTGGAGAGATGGGGCTAGCAGTTAAAGGTGCTTACTCACCTAGCAGATGACCTGAGTTTCAGTTCCTTTGTGTGGTTCACTACCCCTGATCCTCCAGCCTCGGGGACCCCTGTCACCTTTGCCCTGTCCCCATTCCCCACCCACATACACACGTCATTAAAAATAATGAAAATCTTAAAAACAAGTTGTAGAAGCAGTCGTTATTTGCCAATTCCGCAGTCAGAAGAATTTCTCCTTGTTAATCAAAATATGAAAGATGGAGATTTAAGAAAACATTGTGCATACTTGAGGATCACATTCTGATGTGTTAAAAGTTTGCTCATGGCTACAGTCCTGGCAGTCTGTGGAATAGGCTGGTGTAGACCCCTTAAAGAAGCAGGGAACAATGACTGGTTCCCCTTCCCATCAACCTAAGGGGCAGTTCTACAGGTTTCCTTGATGTTCAGGGAAACGAAGGCCAGAAAATAAGTGCAATTACATACCCCAGGCATTTGCACAACGGCGGGCTTATAATAGCACCCTGTGAAAGTTTGCAAGAATGGGACAAGGACATGAATGAAAAAGAAGCCACATTTAGTTAGTGAAGACTGACTCAAGAGGCTCAGAGAGGGTTTCTCAGTCCAGGGACCACTCATCAGGCTAGGTGGTTTTGGGTTGTAGGGACTCGGTGTATAACAGGATGTATAGCAGGACCTGGGCATCTGTCCATTTAGTTGTCAGTAGAAGCATCCCTAGTGTGACAATGAAAATGTCTCCAGGACCCACTGAACGTTCCTAGGAGGAATAAAATAGCCCTCAGTTACAAAGCCCTGGTTTGGAATTGCATAGGGCCTGCAGCATGCAACTAAAGCTTCCTGAATATTGAAGAACTTTGTTTTTAAATTTGAAAAAAAATCACATTGATTGATTTGTGTGTATATCTGCACACATGTTGCAGTATGGATGGGGAAGGAACCTTTGTGGTTGTCTCTCCCAGGGATTGGACCCAGGCTTGGGGAGCAAACCCCTGTAGTGACTAAACCATCTCACCAGCCTAGAAAAATGGAAGAACTTTGATTTTTTCATAAATAATATATTTGGGGCCAGCATGCAGATTCCCACTCTCTGTGGGTCCTTGATTTGCTTAGATTTTAAAATGGATCACATTAAAGATAGCAGTGCCTGCAGTTTGCCTAGGATCTCTCTGCTACATTTCAGTGTTTCTACTCTGACATTTACTGTCTTTTAAAAGCACAGTAAGAGGAAACCGAAACATGTCAGTAGAGAAATTTGTATTTTCTGGTCAGTGGTGAGGTGACCGCATTTTAGCACACTATATCTGTCTCCTCAGACTCTGCTACCCTACTTTTAGTCATTCCTTTTATGTTAAATGCAGTAAGTTGAGCATTAAGACACATGAAATCCCACAGAGCTAAAATAATACAGCTAACCTTTCTCTTGGTAGATTTTCTAAAGAAATTAGTTCTGGCCTGCTGGAAATAATCTCCCCTCCTGAAAGCTATTACCCTGATTTGACAAACCTGAAGGAGACATTTGGAGACTCCAAAGAAAGAATAGGGTGAGCAGGTGCTTTCCTGTCAACCCTGGTATACCCAGGAAATGCTCAGAAGATGGGAGGCTGCCATGGCCAACAGTCCTAGGCCATCTTGTTCAGCACAGGACAGATTCTGAGAGCTTTGCTTAGATGAACTGAGCTTGAGGCGACCACTTCTCTTACTCTGCATTCATTAGTGTGTTTCTGTTAGCCACGAGGAAGTCACCCAAAGGGTTACTAATGTAGATTTAAATTTGTTTTTAAACATTAATACATAGTATTTGTTTGCATTTAATATGCATTATCACTCTCTAGCCATATCCAGTTCACAGCTTTGGACACAGCCTCATCCCCTAAAGTAGACTTTGCCAAGCAATAGTTCAAGGAGGCATTAAGATATTACTGAAGAAAAGGTTTGTGGACAAGGCAGTCTGGAAAATGCTGGATTATAGCTCAGAAGTAGAGCCTTAGCCATGCATGCCTGGAGCCATGAGTTCCATGACCAGTAATGTGCTCATTGGTGGGTATTTTTGCATCTTTCATGCTGATCTGTCTCCAGAAGAGGATGTGTGTATGGTGATGCCCCAGTTCCCTTCACTGGAGAGCCTTCTGTTAGAAGAAGAGCTGGGGGGGGGGTTAGTCTTAGGAGTACATGGCGAGAAAGGCTTCATTGGAGGGAAGTCACTCTTTGACCACCTCTTGGATGTGTCGGAGACTGTGTGTTAGAGTAGACAGGCGGCTCATACATGGTTTGAATGTGCTAACTTTGAGTCTGATTTCTAACTTGCTGAAACTGTTCATTTCAGATGGAGAACCAAGCAAAACCTGGATTATTGCTTTCTAATGATGTATGCTCAGGAGAAGGGCATCTATTATATTCAGGTAAGAGTTGGGGTTTTTACAGGATGTTTTTTGTTGTTGTTGTTTCTTTTGTTATAGATAGGGTTAGTCTTGGACTCACAGAGATCCACCTACCTCTGCTTCCCTGGTGCTGGGATTAAAGGCGTGCGCCATCACACCAGGTTGTTCTCACCATTTTGAAGAAGTATTAGAGGCATATTTGTGCAGATCTGTCTCAGCTTTTCTACTTGGTGCTTTTAATCCTTCCCTTCCTCCTCCTCCTTTTCTTCCAAAACACATTTATTAAAATAGAAAAAGAAATATACTTAGCTTATAAAGATTTGAAATGTAAAAGAATAGATTTGTTTCATATTTATTTTGTAAAGATGACCACATTCTATGAACACATTCTACAGATAGTTTAACGATGTTTGAGTTCAGAGGTCAATGTTGGAATGTTCACATGGGTCTGAAAGATGGGAAGGTAGATTAGAAAGCATTTCTGTTCTGTAAGTTTCTTGTAGGTATAAGTGTGCATGTGTGTGCTTACTTGTAGGGGCCAGAGGTCAATGTTGGGGGCCTTCCTCAGTTAATCTCCACTGTTTTTTTTTTTTTTTTTTTTTTTTTTTGAGGCAGAGTCTCTCTGCCTGGAACTTCTCAGTTCAGCTAGACTGGCTGGCTACCAAGCTCCATAGTTCCCCTTGGCTGCCTGCTCAGTGCTGGAATTTCAGGCAGGCACTGTTTGCTCAGCAAGCTGGCCTCAAACTTGGGGTTTTCCTGCTTCTGCTTTGAGTGCTGGAGTTACAAGCATGCAGCTCCTTGTTTTCTTTGATAGTCCACCTGGAATAAGCCTTTCACTTCCTTAAGTTATTCCTAAGTGGTTTTAGTAGTCTATTGAATGAGATTAAAATACAATTGGGTTGGGGACGTTGGTTATTGTTTTTGTTTTTTTGTTTTGTTTTGTTTTTTTGTTTTGTTTTTTTGTTTTGTTTTTTGAGACAGAGTTTCTCTGCGGCTTTGGAGGCTGTTCTGGAACTAGCTCTTGTAGACCAGGCTGGTCTTGAACTCACAGAGATCTGCCTGCCTCTGCCTCCCGAGTGCTGGGATTAAAGGCGTGCACCACCAACGCCCGGCTGGCATTGGTTATTGTTAGTGGGTAGAAATGATAAGGTGTTGGTATTTTTATCCTGCAACTTTGCTGAAATAATTTATGTTTTTGTGGAATTTGTGTCATGTCATGGGGAAACTTCAGGACGTGGGGGTTGGCATCTTGGATGTGACATCAGTATCATGTTTTTACAAAATTTACCTGAGCATAGTGACACAGACTCATCATCTCAGCATTAGGAGGCAAGAGGTTCTCTAATCTAAGGCCAGCCTGGATTATTAATAAGTTCCCTGGGAACCTGGACTCTACAGTGAAGCTGTGTCTCAAGAGAGAGTACATGTACACATTTTTGTGGGTGTCAAAGAAGCAACACGGTGTGAGGGTGAATATGGATGCTTTTAAATCTTAGATGTCTGATGGCTCAAACCAGGATTTCCAGTGTTTTGCTGACAGCTAGTGGGAATCCCTGCCTGTTTGTGATCCCAGAGGGAGAGCTTTTGATTGTCGTCTCAGGAATGCTGGCCTCACAGACTGTGTTTGAAGGAATTCTCCATGTGTCAGTGTTTAGTATGAGTCTGAGAAAAATCAGTTAAATCTTTAATGGTTACCCAGAATTCTTCAGTGAAGTTCTCTGGTCTTGGGCTTTCTACTTTGCTTTGCAGGGAAGTTAAGGAAGGATTTGTTGGTGTCATCGTCTTAGACAACGTCTTATGTAGTGCAGGCTGACACTGAGTTTATCATTATAGTCAAGGATGATCTGGTGCCTAAATCCCTCTGCCTGCACACCACGAGTGTTGGCGTTATGGGCTTATACTGCCACACCTTTTCAGGTGGTGGTGATGATCAAACCAGAATTCATGCTTGCTAGACAAGCGTGTTACCAACTGAGCTACCTTCCCAGCCCTTCAAGATTTTTTGTTTTCTTTGTTTTCAGCTTTGATTCCCTTGCTTGTTGTAATGATGCCTAAATGTATTTTTCTGCAGTTCAGTCTCAGTGAGTTACATCTTTCTAGGAACATATTATTTCTTCTAGTTAATCCAGTTCATCAGCACACACCTAACTTTGTAGTAGCCTCTCACAATGTATAATCTGTTTAATGTCCTCTCATGTCTAATTTTGAGTCCTCTTTTTCCTGTGATACTTAACTAAAGTTTTATGAGTTTTGCTGCAGAAACATCCTTGCTTCCTTCTGTTTCCACTGACTTTTTTTTTTTTATAGTCATGTGATTTCCCATTTGATTTTCTTTGTGCTGTCGTTGTAGTTACTCACCCTACAGTTATAGCAGTCTATCTAAAACCAATCACTTAATTTCAAGCCATATAAATTATTGCCTTTACATCTGTTCCCTGTCCCTACTTTGTTACTGATGACACAGATTGCCTCTTTATAAGATTATATGTCTCACATTCTAAGCTGGCCTTGAACTTGCTATATAGTCTTGAACTTCTGACTCTTCCAAGTTCTGGGATTACAGGAGTGGAATATGGCACTGTGCCTGGTCTAGACAGTGCTGGGGATCAAGCTCAGGCTTCGTGCATGCTAGAAGAGCACTGAGCACTGCATCAACTGAGCCACACACCAGGCACCCACCCCCTGCCTCTTCTCATATTGCACATCCGTGGATTGAGGTGTGTAATTACTTTTTGTGCTTTGGCTTATGTCAGATTTGGAAATGATCAGGGCAGCAAGCCTCTGTCATGAGTGACAGCATGCAGTCAGCAATGTTGGTCTTTGGGTAGAATTGTAAGATATTTCAGAGGCCAGTGTTTCTGTTATATAGGCAGCTGTTGGCACTGGTGTCCTTACCCCTAAAAAAAAGTGACTTACATATTACCTACTACAGGATTCTATATGTGCTGCTTTTACCAGATGATTTTTCATTCTTGCATGGCATTTTGTTGGTTTTTACCATCTTCTCATTTTAAGATGAAGGACTGAGCAAGCCAGGCAGGAGGACCAATGTTTAATTTACCACCCCTCACTTTCCTGGGAAAGCCTTAACTTCTTTTATATTTTCAAATGCAGTTCTGCTGGCAGGTAGGGTGTTGTTGGTGGGTAATTGTTTTGTTTTTATAATTTCAAATCCACCATCCAACTGTCTTAACAGCCCAAAGTCTGTGCTGAGAAATCTGCTGATGGTCTGATAAGAGCCCCCTGGTATGAGGCGGGTCACCATGAGGGAGTAAATTCTTTCTCTGGGGATTTTGACAGCCTGGTTGTGCTGTTTCTTGCAATGTTTGTCTTTAGTTTATTTGTTAAACTTGGATATCCATTTTCCGCTATGTGCTTGGGAAGTTTCCAGACAATGTCTCTTCAGGTAGGTCCTTGAAGTAAATGTGCACATTGTCCTCTTTATGGTATCTGCAGGTTCCTTGGGCTGTCTTCATGATCATTTTCCCTTTTTAGCCTTTGCACCGTTAGTTTTGAAAACTGTCTTTGCTCACTCTTCTGCCTGGCCAGGTCTGCTGTAAAGTTTCCCATTCAGGCTTTGTATTCTGCAGTTCCTGTTTCTAGCTCATTCTCCTCCATAATGTCTGTCTCTTTGTTGCTGTTCTCATTTAAGTCTTTCACATTTCATTTAATTCTCCACTGTTTTCAAGTCACTGCATAGCCTCACTGCAATGTCATTTTTGTTGTTAGTGTTGGAATTTTGGTATCTGGAAAATCAGCCAACCCTAACAGCCCACCCTGCCCTTGTGGTCTGGTGGTGTCCCAGAAGGCCTGCTTCTTGAGCCCTTTAAATTAAAACAATTATTTTCTTCTTTGTGCACATGTGTGTTTGGCGTGTGTGTGTGTGTGTGTGTGTGTGTGTGTGTGTGTGTGTGTATGCACTGCATGAGTGCTGATACCAGCTGAGGTCAGAAGAGGGCAATGGGCCCCTGGAACCGGAGTTACAGATGGCTGTGAGCCACCATGTGGGTTCTGGAAACTGATTCTGATTCCTCTGGAAGAGTGGTGAGTGTGTTAAACCACTGATTTATCTCTGTAGCTCCCCAAGCCCCTTTAAAGAGTATTTTCATTAATTCTTTTGAGTATCATGCAGTGTATTTTGCATATTCTCACTGCCCCTACCATAACCACCTTCTCTACCCACCTGCCTCTGAGCCTTCTCCTTTTTAACCTCTTGAGTCTAGTTTGTGCTGCCCAGCTAGTCTTGGATGGGGCTTGCCCTGGTGTGTGGTCCACCTACTAGGTATCACATCATTGAAGGAAGTGACTCTCCCTTTCTCAGCAGGTAGAGAATGCTAGTAGCTCCTTAGAGAGTGGTGATGGGGTTGTGTTTCATGCCCCCCTTGTCCCTTTATGCAGATTTTTGTCTGGGAGGTGTTTATACAGGTCTTGTACATGGTGTCACAATCGTTGCTTTTTGGGGCCTCTTTTTGTGGACTTGTGGGTGTAGTGAGATTTGCCGGTTTCTATTTTGCTGTGCACAACCCCCACTCTTGGGGTGTGTGTGGGGATACTGTACATCTATGTTGTCGTCTTGGGCGCCCCTCAGTGCTTACGTGTGGTACTGCAAACAAACAGTACCTTTGTTCTTGGCGTTTGTTGGGTGCCTACCCTGTTCCTGTCCATACTTTGATTGAGACAAGACAGAAACGACACTATTAGGATGCATGCCAGAAAGTCAGGGGCTCCAGAGGGAGAAGTCAGGAGTTGGGAACCATGCCCAGCCGTGGGACTGTAGCTGTTGAATGCTCTCATTTTAAAGCCACGTTTCTGTGGGTGAAGGAGGGTCTGGAGTTTGCCATCCCCCTCTCTTGTTGATGTCTAAAATCTCTAATAAGGGATCTCTCTCTCTCTCACGCACATGCACGCACACACACACACACACACACACACACACAAAGCCTCATAACTAGTTTTGTTGTCACAACATAATATCAAAAGCCTTAAATGTCAGTGAATGGAAATTGGTGTGGTGTTTAGTCGGTTTTTTGGAATAATATTCTTACATCATTGCTGTATTGTTGATCATTTAGACTGGGTCTAAATTTTCATCTCTCCAAAGGTTAATGAGTTTTTCTAAAAGTGGGTATATTTCCCAAAAGCTTGTTCCTTAGGAAATAGAGTTGCTTTATATTCTAGTCTTTATAGTTGGGCAGCACGAGAATCCTATCAAGGAGCTCATTGTCGTTTGTCTACAGAGTATTAGCAGAGAAAACACACTAGCTTTAGAAGCCACCAGATTATGCTGGATTGAGATGTTTGTAAAGCAAAAGGGATCACCTAGGGAAATCCAAGGAAAACAGAGCTGAAGATGGGGACTCAAAGGACTTTATCTCACACTTTCCTAGGGCTGTGGGTTCATGGTTGCAAACAGGGGGTTTTCATATCCACCGCTTCTAAAGGATGTTTGTGTGTGGGAGGCAGCCCAGTGGGAGAGTGTGGCCATTGTGCATGCCACCCTGGGTTCAGTTCCCAGCACTGGAAAAGAAAAGGGTAGAACCAGGTCAATTGTATTGTGGGCTTATGCTTAAAGAGAAAAAGAAAATACCAACCATCCTGGGGTTATACCTGTGGCTTGGGATGGAGTTTGGAGTGGCAATGTTATACCATTTGGAAAAAGGCTATGTTGCCCAGTATCAAATTATGCCAGGGTTTTCATCATAGATGATCCAGAGCTTTAATGCCATTCAGTCATTTCCCATGCTCAGTATGACGTTAACCTTCAGACTTTCACTCAAGCGTCATATTTTTTGAACATTTCCTGTCCCAATGTTCCCAAAGTACTTTGCATATCTGAACAACGGTGCAGGTAAGAATGGGGGATAGTTTAGTGACCTGAATCTCTAGTTGGTTTGGGCTGTACATACTCCTCTTCTAATAGCAATGTACTTGACAGCTGGAAACACTTATCTGCACAGACTAGCACCCATCACTGCACCCAGAAACCTGCTAGCAACCCAGGACCCCAACCTGCTCTGAGCTTTATTTTCACCCACTAGAAATGATGTAGTAAGTTTCTTCTCCTCTTCAACAAATTCTATTCATTCATACTCCAAATGGAAAGGCCAGTCTGGCCTGAACTGTTTTGGGGTACATACGCAGTAAGGAGAAACTGTGTCCCTATGTAAACTTGTAGGGAGAATCCCCTATATACCATCTTACGTCTATGCATAATTAGGCATGCACATGATTAAAATCAGACACATTCTGGGACAGGATGTGCACAGTAGAGAAATGACTATATGCCTTAATCTGTCAATCAAAACAGGGAACTACCCTTGCTACTCCCCTTTAACAGTCGGATTTTCTCCTTCTCTTGAACCCCCTAAGGCAGCCCCACACTGTTCCTGGAGTCCTTGAATATCCTGACTCTTGTGGCCTGGCTGCGTTCTTGACAGTGTGTTTCTGATCTGTACTATCACTTTGCTTTGAATAAAGTTTGATACTTCGTAAAAAAAGGGGGTGGGTTGCAAGTGACTTGGAGTGGAAGATGATTTTCATCAGAACACTGCCAGGTGCTTCTGGTACCTCCTTATTCTCCTTGCTGCGTCACACCCCACATGGTGGCTCTTAACTACCAGTTACTCCAGTTCCAGGGGATCCAGTGCCCCTTCTCACTTCCACAGGCTCCTGCACATGTGATGTCCTTGGTCAGAGACATGTACATACACATAAAAATAGTAAATAAACCTTTAAAAATATAAAGAGGCTTTCTAGAGCTAGAGCTCTTGCCTAGCTTGAGCTGGGCCCTGAGGGAGGGGGGGAGAGGGGAGGAGAGAGAAGAGAAAAGGAGAGAGAGAGAGAGAGAGAGAGAGAGAGAGAGAGAGA